GAGAGAGTGAGTGAGTGAGTGAGTGAATGAGAGTGAGTGAATGAGAGTGAGGGAGTGAGTGAGTGAATGAGAGTGAGAGAGTGAGTTAGTGAGTGAGTGAGAGTGAGAGAGTCGCTCACCTTTTTCTTAGAAGTGAAAAAAGTGGCCAATAAGATGGAGCTGGTAGATAAACCTATGAGCCTATTGTAAAAAGAAACAAACCACAACACTTTGAACAGTTCTTGCAAGGCTTCGGGGATGTCAGTTAGTAGCAGTCTACTCCAGTTAGGTGTTCACATACTGGGATAAAGAAAGATCTTTAATTGGAAAGTAGTATGCAATTATACTTAAGGACCACGACCCCAATCTTACAGTGACTGTTCATGGCTTATAATTCCTAAATTTATTTTTGAAATGTCTACTTTTTAGCTAAATGAGAGCAGCTTACTTAAATGATGTTGCACTGGGACTCAGGGCAAGGCTAACATTTTAGAAGATCTCAGTTCCAACTTTATAAATGTATACCTGGAAACAAAACCATGATGTCAAAGTACATTTCAATCACTTTATAAATCATTTTCCTATGTATGTTCTGTCTCTCAAGAGCTATCGTAAGCCAAAAACTACATCTGTCACAGATTCCAAACCTGGACAAAAATGCAAATTTCCATGCTGCTCATTCTTTGATTTTGTTTTGCATTGCAGTGAATATTGGTGGTTAGCCACTAGGGAACTTGAAATTCTCTGATTCACTGTCTCATTAATCAACTTGATGAAATAAGTTCTAAACCTTTGGCCTACTTTCCTTTTGACTGTCCAGAATGCAATCTTCCCAAGCCAGAGAGCATGCACATAAAAAGAACCTTTGAAATGTCCCAGTCAAGCCAAAGTTTCACAGTAAAGAAAGGGAGCCCAACTAGTTTGGGCTTGCCCAAGTGCAAACAGCTTGGGTTAGTGGCAGAAGCAGGGCACAGCTCTGGGATACCAACTCTGGGGAAATGAAGGCCTTAAGGGGTTAGTGAGAAATGCCATATGGTGGATCCTCTGTTTGGCTTCTGAGGGAGGGTAGTGCTTAAGGTTGTAACAAAAACATTTGAACTTGAACCAGATGACCTGGGTTACAGCGATAGTCCTAGCACTATCCTAACCACATAACCTCAGTAAACGGCTTGATTGCAACCAATACAAACCTCACTGGTCCATCAAGTCGACATGAGCTCAGGGCGACTCTTGTGTAGAACTGCACTCCAACGTTTTTCAGCCGCTGTGTTTTCAGAAGTGGATCGCCAGGCCTTTCTTCCAAGGTGCCTCTAGGTGGATTAAAACTGTCACTTTTTCAACGAGCTGTGACTAGGGTACCCTTGAGTCCATCCGGACTCAGAGCAACCATACAGGAAGGACAGAGTTAGAACAGCGCCATTGCTTTCTAAGCTGTGATCATTTATGGGGACAGAAGGGAGTCTTTCTCCTGAGGAGCTGCCTCTGGGTGAGCTACTGCTTAACTATTCGCCCCGCCTCCACTCCACTCCTGTGGACGAGCGCGAACGTTGCCCAGTATTCATTGGTCCCTTTCCTTATTTAGAAATGATAAACACCAAAAGGGAATAAAGTAAGAGAGAACAGACAGAACAGTGCCTGGAAGACATTAAAGCTCAATATTCTCATTAGGGTCAGTCTTTGACAGGCCTCTTAAGTATCAGGGAACTGCTAACCAAACCACTCAGGTTTTCTTTCCCTGTGACTCCAGCTAATCCTTTCTGCCCAAATTCGAATTAAAGAATCACAGAGGTTTTCCTGCCAAGGCGCAAGCCCCGCCCCCTGAAGCGCGAGCCCGGCGGGCAAAGCGCGCGCGCGTCCAGATGTGACGTCATCCACTGGGCCGGCTTTGGGGACGTTTGCTTCCGGGACCAAGGGCGCTCTACTTCCGGAGGAAATAGCGTGGCCGGGAGCACGCTAGCGGGCGGTGCGTGAGGCGCTCTGTTCCGCTTCCTGGTCCGGTGGGCTTGGTCCGGGAGGCCAGACATGAAGATCACGAGGCAGAAACACGCCAAGAAGCATCTCGGCTTCTTCCGCAACAATTTCGGAGTTCGCGAGCCCTACCAGCTGTTGCTCGACGGCACCTTCTGTCAGGCGGCGCTGCGGGGCCGCATCCAGCTGCGGGAGCAGCTGCCCCGCTACCTCATGGCCGAGACGCAGCTGTGTACCACCAGGTGGGGGCCGGCGGGGGGAGGAGCTGAGTCCGCGGCTCGGGTTCCAGGTCGGCACGGGGTGGGAGAGACGAGCCCAGCGGCAGGTAGCCGTTGGCAGTGCGAGGTCGCGGTGAGGTTGACGTGCGCAAGAACACGCGCTGTGTAGTCAGATACGCCTGTCTTCGACTCCTAGCCCCAGTTCTACCAGCTCTGTTAATTCGAGCAAGTTGCTTCACCACCTCGGGCCTTGTTTTTTTCAATAGTAAAATACGGAGGAGCCCCGATGGCGTACTGACGGTTAAAGAGCTCTCTTGCCATCCCAAAGTTAGTGGTTCAGAATGACCAGCCATCGGAGAAAGGTATGGTGGACTGCTCGCCTAACAATGTAACCTTGGAAAACCTATTGGCACCCCTACTGTGCCCTGTAAGATCACTGTGAGAATCAATCAACGCTGCGCATCGGGAATGATGATTCTTTGCACTCCTGTAAATATTTACAGTCTTGCAAACCCACTAAGCAGATCTCCTCTGCCTTTAAAGGTTGTTATGAGTCAAAATTCACTGGATGTCAGTGAATTTTTATTTTTTGCCGTTAGATGCATGCCCTAGTGGCATTGGATTGCTGTCCACAAAGTCAGTGACTCCAAATCACCACTCCATCCCAGGGAGGAAGTTGAGACTCTGTTCTTAGAAATATTTACAGCCTCACCAACTGGTTGGCAGTGGAGTTTTCTTCGTTTTAACTAAAAATCTTTCAAGCCTCACAGCTGTGAGATGTACTATCTTTCATTCCCAGAAAAAGAAGTTATGGTACATTTTGAAATTTGCCCAAGATTGTTCATTTATTGACTTCTCTTTATTAATAGAATACTTCTTTCAAGAATAGCTTCAGCTACTGAAACTAACTTAATGAGCAGGGCAGACAAGCTCATGACCAAGAAGGTGCATAAACCAACCTCTATTTGGTGTTTTTTGACTCTGGGTTTAGTGC